AGGGGTAGACAGGAAATCAGTCTGCAGGCAGAAGGTGCACTAGAACTGGAGGTCCCACTGGCTTCACTGAGGGTTCCCAACGCTGCCTGCTTCCCAAGTCGCCCAGATCTTAAAACCCATCAGAGAGTGCGAGGTGTCACATAGAACTCACAGCCTAAGTTCCCTCAGGCCTTGCTGCCCGACTTCCTTTGTGAACAGTGAAGAAGATGCCCTGTTTGTCCCAGTGTTTGTCCCTGTGCCCGAGGTCTCAGACGAGGGGGGGGTGGGGGTGTGTGTGGCTGGGCTGCATGGCTCAGCGCCATTGCAGAACTGGTCTTAAAGGGCAGTTGTGTTTACGTTTCCTGTCCCAGGCTTGTTTGGAACAAAAATTCAGCCCCTTGGACTTCCAGCTGGAGCCTCAGCACCCCGAGAGTCCCTTCCCTGGGGAATGTTCCACTTGGAGAGGCTTCTCCTTGGGCTCCGGGTAGGGGTCTTCAGGCTGGAGACAGGGGCATGGCTAAAATGACTTCTCAACTTTCCCTTTAAGGGATCTTTAAGGGGTCAGGATGAGCCTGCCGCCCACCCAGCCCAATCAATAACCTGACTTTCAGTTGAGTAGAAGATAAAAGCCCTGGAAGGTAAAGCCACTACCTGCAGTGCCAGCATCCCATATGGTGCCAGTTCAAGTCCTGGCTGCTCCACTTCTGATCCAGCTCTCTGCTATAGCCTGGGAAAGCAGTAGAAAATGGCCCAAGTTCTTGGGCCTCTGCACCAGAGTGGGAGACCCAGAAGAAGCTCCTGGCTCCTGGCTTTGGATCGGCCCAGCTCCAGCTGTTGTGGCCATTTGGGGAGTGAACCAGCAGATGGAAGACCTCAGCCTCCCTGTAATGCTGCCTTTCAAACAAATAAAGAAATCTTAAAAAAAAAAAAAAAAAAAAGGTAAAAGACCTCTGGAAGGCCGGCGCCGCTGCTCACTAGGCTAATCCTCCGCCTTGCGGCGCCGGCACACCGGGTTCTAGTCCTGGTCGGGGCGCCGGATTCTGTCCCGGTTGCCCCTCTTCCAGGCCAGCTCTCTGCTGTGGCCAGGGAGTGCAGTGGAGGATGGCCCAGGTGCTTGGGCCCTGCACCCCATGGGAGACCAGGAAAAGCACCTGGCTCCTGGCTCCTGCCATCGGATCAGCGCGATGTGCTGGCCGCAGCACGCCGGCCGCGGCGGCCAATGGAGGGTGAACCAACGGCAAAGGAAGACCTTTCTCTCTGTCTCTCTCTCTCACTGTCCACTCTGCCTGTCAAAAAAAAAAAAAAAAAAAAAAAAAGACCTCTGGAGCCACCTCCTGCTCCTGCTGACAAGACCACACTGGGGAACAAGGTAGCAGTTACAGCCGGGGCTTCAAGGGTCTCACAAAGCTGGGGAGGGGACAAGGAGTGGGGCGGTCACTTCTCACGCCCCCACTCCTCAGACCTGCCCAGGAGGACCATGGGGCGGGCTCTCCTAGAAGAGGTCACAGCCTCAGGTCATGGCCACACCCCCGCCCCCACTCCTCCCAGCACCCCTGATCCTGACCACCCCCCCACTCCCCCCCCAGCCCTGGCTCTTTCCCTCTCGCTCTCACTTCCGTCACTTGCCTCATGGAGTTGGAGGCTTTTAGTGAGAGGGGCAGGAGTTGGAAGCTTTTAGTGTGAGGTGCAGGCTGCACACAGGGAATCAGAGCCCTCATGCTGGGCGGGCTCCATTCGTAAGCAGCTGTGTGATCCTGGGCAGGGCCCATGGCTGGCTCTCGCTCCACCGCTGAGCGAGACGGACCAGCCGGGCTGGGAGGGCTGTTGTCATCTCCTTGGCGCTGGCCAGGGGCCAGGGCTCGCTTTCATCTCCTGAATCAAGCGCAGTGACTACGCCTCCCCCTGGCCCTGACCCTGTCCCCGGGGCACAGGCACAGGTGAGGACCCGGCTCATCAAAGCCCCGGCTCTAGGGACCTCACACCTCCCTCTTCTCCGACCTTCTCCCATGGCAGGTGCAAAGTCCACAGGGATGGAAACAGAAAAAAAAAAAAAAAAAAAAAAAAAAAAGAGGCGGGAACCCCACAGCTGGCTCTCCTTGCGCCCCAGGGGCAGCCCGGATTGCAGTTGTGGGGTGCAGTCTGAGCTCCAAGGGGAGTTTTGAGGGTCTAGGTCAAACCCCAGGAGGAGCAAGCAGCCAGGTCAGAGCCCAGGACGACAGCTTACTGCTCCCCACCTCCGGACTGGGCCACCCCCTTCTCTCTCTGGGCAAATGGATGTCCTTGAGCACCTGCCACTTCAGCTCTGCGCCTCTGTTTTTAAATGTATGTATGTATGGAAAAGGGAGAGAGAGAGAAAGAGAGAGATCTCGTATTCACTGGTTCATTGCCCCTGCTGGTCCACGAGCTGGGAACTCAGGCCAAGTCACCTACATGGGCTGCAGGGCCCCAAACAATCAAGCATCAGCTGCTGCCTCTCCCAGTGTGGACCAGCAGGAAGCTAAATCAGGACAGGAACCTCGGTGCTCCAACATGGCAGGCGGGCGTCACAAGCAGTGTCTTAGCCGCTAGGCCAGATGCCTGCCTCTATGGCTCTCATTCTGATTCCAGCTTCCATGGTTCATCTTTTGCAGCCAGCACTGGGGATAGGAGGAATCCTAGCCCCTTCTCGCAAGATGGATGCTGATCAGGGCAGCACTGTGGCGTAGTAGGCTAAGCCTCCGCCTGAGTGCCAGCATGTCACATAGGCACCGGTTCATGTCCCGACTGTCCCTCTTCTGATCCAGCTCTCTGCTATGGCCTAGAAAAGCAGTGGAGGATGGCCCAGGTGCTTGGGCCCCTGCACCTGCGTGGGAGACCTGGAAGAAGCTCCTGGCTCCTGGCTTCAGATCGGCCCAGCTCCAGCTATTGCAGCATTTGGGGAGTGAACCAGCAGCTGGAGGTCTCCCTCTCTCTCTCTCTTTCTACCTCTGAAATAAATAAATAAAATCTTAAAAAAAAAAAAAAAGATGGCTGTGGATCTTGATGCTTTGTGTCCAAGTCTCTTCCCCACCCTCTGTCCTCGGCATTGTCAGCATCATCTTGCTGGGGCTTAGAGGGGGTGAGGTGGGGACAGAGAGCCATCAGCTCTGCATACAGAAAGTAGGGTAATGGGGCCGGCAGCGGGTTAAAGTCCTGGCCTGAAGCGCCCGCATCCCATATGGGCGCCGGTTCTAGTCCCGGCTGCTCCTCTTCCAATCCAGCTCTCTGCTGTGGCCTGGGAAAGCAGTAGAAGATGGCCCAAGTCCTTGGGCCCCTGCACCCACATGGGAGACCTGGAAGAAGCTCCTGGCTCCTGGCTTCGGATCAGCTCAGCTCAGGTCCGGCTGTTGCGGCCATTTGGGGAGTGAACCAGCAGATGGAAGACCTCTCTGTCTCTACTTCTCTCTGTAACTCTGTCTTTCAAATAAATAAAATAAATATTTTTTAAAAAAAGAAAAGAAAGTAGGGTAATAATAGCCTGCGGGTTTTTGTGGGAGACGCTTGCACCCTAGGCCTTGTTTGATGCGTGTCCTTCAAACGGAGGCATCCTTTGTCCCATTGCTCAGATGGGGAGAACTGAGGTTTCGAAAATGCCTGCCCATTTGTGATGATGTCTGGGAGGTCTGGTGTTCCTACTCCTAGCTCCCCAAGGCCCGAGTCACAAGGCAGGGCCCCCAGCTTGAGGGAGAGGCTCAATCTGTCCCCATCAAAGGGTTAGCCTCTCCTGAAACCCGTTCTTGCTGCCTCCACCTATGAGCGTTTCACCTTGTCCACCTGCTAACGCCTGTTGTCTCTCCTGCCCAGCGGGATTCTCTTCCTGTGGTCAGGACAGCGCTCCTGGGAAAGGCAGAGGCTCCGGCACAGCCCAGCAGAGTTCAGTTGCCCACATGGGGGCGGGGTGGGGGGGGCAAGAGAGCCATTCACGCTGTCACTTAGATCCAAGTGAAAATCCTGGCTCCTCCACTTCTGGCTGCGTGACCCTGAACCAGTCACTCAACCTCCATGGGACTCAGTTTCTCCACTTTTTCTGCCTCCTAGGCTGAGTGAGATCGTGCCTGTGCCAGCCCCAGCACAGTACCTGGGACCCTGCGGAAAGGGTGTTAAAATCCAGGGCCCCTTCCCCTTCGTCCCAGAGCAACAGGACCCCCCACCCAGCCACGGACAGGTCTGGGCACCCAAGTGCCCCCTCCCCACAGAGTCCAGGGAGCTCCAGATTTTTGCTCCCGCGCACCCGCCCCCGCACTCACTTGGGTAGCGAAAGTAAAATTCATTGTCCGCGTTACTGTGGTTGCCCCCATGCCAGAGGGCAGCGTCGGTTTGCTGGTCGTAGCGGACAAAGATGGCAAACAGAATGGCAGTGGCGCCCTGGAAGAACAGGCATAGCAGGGGCAGCAGCAGTCGCCGGCCCGCGACGCGGCGGGGAGACTTCGCCATGGGACCGGGCTCGTGTTGGCGCCGCGCACCGCGGGGCTTGACTCCCGGGGCAGGCTCGGCAGGTTTAGCCCCGAGAGGCCCCGCCCACATGGGGCCCCGCCCACGGGCCCCACCCACAGGGTACCGGTCCACTGGAGGCCGCGCCCTCAGCCGCTCCTTATAAGATGCACCCAACGTGAAGAGGGGACAGCGAGGGAGGGGGGGACTAGGCCCCCAACTTGGCCTGGAGGCAAAAGCTGGGAGGGCTAGGCGTTGGGACCCCCAGGCCCCGTCTGCTTGGCCCAGCTGAGTCGAGCACTATTCTGGTTGGAACAGGTCCGCGGAGGCGCTCCTGTGCTCCGCTCTGCTGGGGCACAGCTGTGGTCATGCACCCCTCCAACTTGGTGTTAATTTGGGGAGCGGCTCCCAACCTGCCTGGCCCCTGCAGGGTTAAGCAAGCTTTGAGGGGTTGCTCAATCTTTTCCCTCCTGAGAACAGAGATGGAGACTGAGATAAAAGCCTCCGCAGGCTTGACGATTAACCAACCACGTGGGGGCTGCCTGCGCCTCTCCACCTCGGCCTCTGCCCACTGTGCCCCTCCTTCCTCACCTCAGTAGGCTCAGCGGGCGGAGCTGACACCCTCCGCGGCCTGGGACGCACCTGCAGAGGGAGAGGCTGCAGGGTCTTCCTGCTCAGGAGACCCCAAGAACACAAGCCAGATACGCATCTACCCGGGCTCCGGTATAGACATTTCCTGAGAGCTTCCTGTGAGCGAGGCGCCCTCCAGGAGCCGCTGTCCAGTCCGGAGATGGACACTCGGGAGGGATTCGGTTACCTTGGGGGTAAGTATGAGACCCAGGGAGGCCTGGAAGCTGTGGGGCCCAGTAGGGGGTCTGCACAGCCCCTGAGGGTGGGAGCAAGGGAGGGGCCATTTCCGGGGCGGGGCGGGGGGGAGGCCTTCTGGAAAGACCACCTGGGCAGTGGGCAAGTGGGGAAGGAGGAGGGCACTTGTCCCAAGCTGTCATCAGCACAGACAGAAGCCTAGCAGTGGCAGCGGAGTGTGCAGAGGGGGCTGGCACTGTGGTGCAGCGGGTTAAAGCCCCTATCTGCAGTACCAGCATCCCATATGGCCGCCGGTTCGAGTCCTGGCTGCTCCACTTCCCATCCAGCTCTCTGCTGTGGTCTGGGGAGTGGGGGATGGCCCAAGCCCTTGGGCCCCTGCACCTACAGGGGAACCAGGAAGAAGCTCCTGGCTCCTGGCTTTGGATAGGCCCAGCTCCAGCCATTGTGGAGTGAACCAACAGATGGAAGACTCTCTCTCTCTGCCTCTCTGTAACTCTGCCTTTCAAATAAATAAATAAATAAATGTTTAAAAAAAAAAAAAAAGAGTGTGCAGAAACTGAGGCTGGGGTGAGGAGTCGGGAGAGGCCTTGAAGTCTTCTACCCAGTGGGTGCTGGGCCCCTGCAAGGTTCTGGAAAGGGGGGGGGTGGCTAGCACTGTGGTTCTGACCCTCACATCTGTAATCCCCCAGGGGCTCCAAAGAAGGGGAGCTGAAGGCCCCTCTCAGTGGAGCTGGTGGGAGGGGAAGCCCTCTGTCTACACTGCTGCTCCTACCAGCACCCCCGTCTGAGGGGGCTGTTGTGTGGGAGGGGCCTGTGGCAAACCCAGGCCTAGAAGAGCTGCCATGCCCAGGGTCACAGAACCCACACAGGGGGCAGCGCCTCCTAGGAGCCAGGCTGTCCCTTCTTGTCCGGTTCCGCCCTTTCCCCTGTTGTCCTCACTTCGCACAGGCTTGAGGCCTCGTCCAGCACGTTCGCTGGGGGATGGTTGGGTTCCAGGTCTCCAGTCTTCCTCATCTGAAGGCGCAGCTGGGACACAGGAGGGTGCTGGCTGAGCAGGCTCTCAGGGCCACTGTGGTCCCAGGGACCCTCACTACTTGGTCAGCAGGAGGGCTGTTTCCTAGCATCTGGGGCCCCTCCCAGGCCCAGCCTTCTGCCCCAGAGACACTTCCTGAGCCCTGGTTGGAAGTGGGGGTGGCTCCGGGCTGCCCAGGTAAGGAGTGGACAGGCCCTGGAAAAGAGTCCTCCCCTTTTTTTTAAAGATTGGCAGTTACAGAGAGAGAAAGAGAGACAGGGGTGGGGGATTCTCCATTTGCTGGTTCACTCCCCAAAGGGCTACAATGGCTGGAGCTGTGCCAATCCAAAGCCAGGAGCCAGGAGCTTCTTCTGGGTCTCTCACATGCGTGCAGGGGCCCAAGGACTTGGGCCATCCTCTGCTGCTTTGCTTTCTAGCAGGGAGCTGGATAGAAAGTGGAGCAGCCAGGACTTGAACTGGTGCCCATATGGGATACTGGCGCTGCAGGCAGGGGCTTTAACCTGCTGTGCCACAGTGCCGGCCCCAAGAAGAGTCTTTAAAAGCTGCAGAAGCAAGGAGAGCAGGAGGAACGGGCCAGCCCTTTCCAACCCCTCCTGGGAGCCACCTCCCAGCCTCCAGCCTCCTCGTTTGCATGGCATCTGTGATTCCCTTTGAACCCCTCTGGATGTCTGGTTTTCGCTCTCCCATGCTGCTCATTCATCCGTTCTGTACACATTCACTGAGTGCCAACTCTGAGCCAGGTCCTGGGGCTGTGAGATAGGTTCTAGTCAAGCTGTGCCACAGGGCTGGGTCCTGGGGCCCCTGCCCTGGCGGTGGTCAGCCCCTTTATTTGCTGGGCTATCAGGGGGTTCAGAGGGAGCCCCGAGAAGGCCCACAAGAGCCAGGCCATCCTCTGGAGAGTACACTTGGAGACCTTTGGACAGCAGCTGTTTGCCAACTTGTCTGCAATGACACTGACATTTGACTATTAGTGGGTGCTAGCCAGTATGGGCCCTGGTCCAGCAGCGAGACTCTGTCATTTGGAGAGTCCCCCTGGCCCATGCTACCCCTCTGAAGGCTCCCCTGCAAGACCACCAGCTGGGAGGGCTCTCCTGGCCCACCACCCGCCAAGCACTGTGGAGAGGCTCAGTCCATGGTGTTCTTCTAGGTTGCCAACAGATGCCAGGGGTGTGGGTCCCCGGCCCTGACAGCTCTGGCAGAGTGGTGGGGTTCTTCACCTCTCACGCCTCCCTCCACCCAGGCCTCCCCTGAGGGCCCCTTATTCCTTTACCAGCTCCTGTCCTGCCTGCCTGAGATCCACCCAATCTTTGACCTGTCTCCCGCTTTCAGCTGTGACCAGCCAAGGGTCTAAAGTGTAGCCAAAGGGACCACAGGTGTCTGCTCCTGCCCGGGCCTAGACTGGCCAGGCTGTCCCTGGAGGCCACATCTCGGAGGTGACTGAGTAGCTTGGGGTTGCTTGGAGCTACACGGACCTGGGTCATTTTCTCTCCACAGGCTCAGGAATCCCCAAAACCACTTAGATCCTTTAGCTCCCCTGAGCCATCCCAGTGCTTAAGGGAGGAAAAAGAGAAAAGCAGCAATGCACCAGTCAGAAACAGCTTCATTTATTCACCACATCTGTGTTATGTGACCTTAGGCAGGGTACTGGGCCCCCTTAGAGTCACCTTTTTCTATTTTATTTTATCTTTTTAACAAAGATTTTATGTATTTGAGAAGTAGAGTTACAGACAGTGAGAGGGAGAGACAGAAAGGTCTTCCATCCGCTGGTTCACTCCCCAAATGGCTGCAACAGCCAGAGCTGGGCCGATATGAAGCCAGGAGCCAGGAGCTTCTGCATCTCCCACACAGGTGCAGGGACCCAAGCGCTTGGGCCATCTTCTGCTGCTTTCCCAGGCCACAGCAGAGAGCTGGATCTGAAGTGGAGCAGCCGGGACCTGAACAAGCGCCCATACAGGATGCTGGCACTGCAGGTGGAGGATTAACCTACTGTGCCACAGCGCCAGCCCCAAGTCTGGTCTCCTTATCTGCGGGAGTCATAAATTTCCTTTGTGGAATCATTAGGAAGATTTCAAATAACTGATGTACATTGCTGCCATTTTTCTAAGCATTTGACAAATGTGGTGATTATTAATTCCAGTTGGCTAAGCAGAGGGGGGTGGCAAATGGCTTTTCTTTTTAAAAAGATTTATTTAATTTAATTTATTTTATTTTATTTATTTTAAAGGCAGAGGGAGAGAGAGAGAGAGAGAGAGAGAGAGAGAGAGAGAGATCTTCCATCTGCTGGTTCACTCCCCCAAATGACCACAACAGGCAGGGCTGGGCCAGGCCAAAGCCAAGAGCCAGGAGCCAGGAGCTACATCCAGGCTTTCCATGCAAGCAGCAGGGGCCCAAACACCTAGGCCATTTCTGTCACTTTTCCCAGGCCATTTAGCAGGTAGGTAGATTGGAAGTGGAGCAGCCAGGACACAAACCGGCGCCCATATGGGAAGCTGGCACTGCAGGCGGTGGCCTTACCTGCTATGGCAGTGTGCTGGCTCCTTGGAACCCAACTTTTTGAGCCATCACCTGCTGTCTCCCAGGATGCTCCTTAACAACAGGAAGCTGGATCAGAAGCAGAATAGCTGGGATTTGAACCAGGTACTCCATTGTGAGCTGAGGGCGTCGCAAGGGGAAGCTTAGCCCTCTGCGCCAGGGTGCCCACTCCTCAGTCCTCAGTTCATGTAACTAAAGGGGTTCAGGCAACTCTCAAGTGGTCCCTACGAAGGAAAAACAGGAGGGAGTCCCAGGGCGTGGAGGGCTTGCTTCTAGAAATGAGCTACATGGATGTGGCTGCAGTCAGAGGGGATGAGGGGATGCAAAGCCACAGCCTCACCCCGGGTCTCTCCTCTACTTCTCCAGGGGATTCCAGCACCAACAGCAGCACCACCAAACCAGCCAAAACCATACCGCACCCCGGACAGCAAGGCGAGCTGACGGACAGCCTGCCCCTTCCCTCTGCTGGGAGCTGTCCTGTCCAGGCGCCCCGGGCTTAGACCTGGCTCTTCTCCAAGGCCAGCTTTGGCCTCTCCTGCAAATATCCAGGGATAGAAAAAACCGTCAAGGATGGAGGTGACATCTTCTCTGCCCAGGACCTGGGATGGGGGGGTGCGGGGGGGAGGGGTGGAAGAGGTCCCCACAGCAGGGCGGGAGGGGCGGGAACGGAGGTGGGGAGATGGGTGCTTGAGGCCTGGTAGGAGTTGCTGGCTCCCAGCAGCCTGTGGCTGTGGTGGGGATCAGAGCGGCTGTGAACACAGGAGGACTCCGTCCCCTCTTGTGCACATCTAGCCCCTGGGCTTCCTGCAGTCCCGCCAGCAAGCCAAGCCCCTGAGACACAGGGGTTTGTGATGGGGGGTTCTGGATGCTGCTAGGCAAAGCCGTAACTGCTCGGTGGTTCCTTTAACAGCTGCTTGGCGAGTCAGACGGGCGAGGTACGGCAGGCCTGCCTTACGCACTGCGGGCACAGCAGTGGACGGCAGACACTGCCCGCACGCTCCTGGAGCACACAGAAGTCCCTCGGCCGGCCTAGGGGCTTTGACAGAGGCAGAGCGGGGTGAGAGGGTGGAGGGGCAGGGGAGCTGGCCAACTGGGTTATAGGGAGAAATGGGGAGGAGGTGAGGAAGGGAATTTGTTTAAAAGCCTGTTTGTTTATTCTTTTTTATTTATTTGAAAGGCAGAGAGAGAAATGTTCCATCCTTCGGTTCACTTCCCAAATGCCTACAACAGCCGCTGGTGCTGGGCCAGGCAGAAGCCAGGAGCCAGAAACTTAATCCTGGTCTCCGGCATGGGTGTCAGGGCCCCAAGTACTTGAGCCATCACCTCCCAGGGTGAGCGTTAGCAAGAAGCTGAATGGTTAGTGGAGGTGTGACTCCATCTGGGGATGCGGGTGCCCCAGGCCAGGCCAAAGTGCTACACCACCACAGCTGCCCAAGAATCTCACCGAGTCCTAGGAGGGGTGCCCCAGGCAGAGGAAGCAGCAGATGCAGCGCTCCGGAGGTGAGAGTGTGCAGCCTTGACGGCGGCCAGAGGAAGCGGCCCCTAACATCTAGATCTCCACCTGCCCCTCCTCCTATGGGGCCTTCTGTGCCATCTGGGCCCATCCCCCGGGGGCAGCCCGCCACCTGGCGGCAGAGTGCAGTCAATACATCGCTTTCCGGCACCTTCAGCCTGAGCTTAGAGCGCCAGCTGGCGCCGCCGTTCAGTCCGAAGCTGCGGAGCCGCGGGTAGAGCCGGGGCAGCGAGGCCCCGCACTTCCACCCCACCACGGGCACAGAGCCCCCCGTGGCTGGGCTGTGCCCCCTGGCTGGTCTCTGTCTCATCCTTTCTTGGATCAAGTTGTAAGCAGTATTCTTCTCACTTATTCATTCAATAAATATGTATCTACTTAAATGTTTGTTAGTCACTTCAATATGCAGCAAATATATTTTGAAAGCCAGCTATGTCTCAGGCACTGTTCTATTTTTTTTTTTAAGATTTATGTTATTTATTTGAAAGGCAAAGTTACACACACACATGGAGAGAGGGAGAGAGAGAGATCTTTCATCTACTCCCGTTTGGGGAGTGAACCAGCAAATGAAGACCGCTCTCCCTCTCTGTGTCTGTAACTCTCTCAAGTAAATAAATAAATTTTAAAAAGAAAAAAAAGTCGGAAAATGAAAGATTCCCAGAAGACCCTGTTTTCAGGAAGGGAGAGGTGGGCTGGGGGTGGGGCTGGAGCCGAGACAGCATCTTGTAGAATCTCTCCCTCCCAAATTCCATTCCTCCCAGATCTGAGCGCACCTGGAGCCCTGAGTCCAGTTAGCAGGGCCTCGTGGGAGTCTGGGAGGCTGGGTGGTCTGGAAGGAGGAGGGCCAGGGATAGGAGGTGGAGCAAAGCCGGTCCTCATCTTCCCCGTGGGCTCAGGGGAAGCTGTGGGAGTCAGAACCAGGCCTGGGGACCAGAAGAGCCTTCTAGCGCCCAGACCTGCTGCTCTTGGAGGCTCGGCTGGAAGCAAGGGGACTCCTGGCAGGGGGATTGCAGACACGGAGGGGTGGGGCCTACAGCACACCCAGCAGAACCACTGCAGCGTGCCGGCAACGTCTACCAGATTCCCACAGGCCCTGCACAGCAGCGTCAGCTCCCCCCGGGAACCACACTGGCCTGGAGGACCCGGGAGCAGGGCCTCAACGCTGACTGCCCATCAGAATCCCCAGAGCTATGGGAAGGGCTTTGAAAAAATACGGGTGCCTGGCCCCACCCCCGTAGGTTTGGGTAGAGTCCCAGTGCCCGAGTGTGTTGGAAGCCCTCCAGATGATTCCACTATAGCTGGAGCTGTAGTGGCTCATCCTCATCCAGGAACTTGTTGAAAAAGAGAGTTACTGGGGCCGGGCACTGTGGCGCAATGGGTTAAGTCCCTGCTTGTGACGCCAGCTCCCCACGTCAGAGTGCCTGTTGATCCTGGCTGTTCTGCTTCCAATCCAGCTCCCTGCCAATGCACCTGGGAAAGCAGCAGAGGATGGCCCAAGTGCTTGGGCCCGTGCACCCACGTGGGAGATCCTGACGAAGCTTCTGGCTCCTGGCTTTGGATTGATGCAGCTCCAGCCACTGCGGCCAATTGGAGAGTGAACCAGAGGATGGAAGACACCTCTCTCTCTCTGCCTCTCCTTCTCTCTCTGTAACTCTATCTTTTGAAAGAATAACATAAAAACCTTTTAAAAAAATAAATATGAGGGGCTGGTGCTGTGGCGTACTGATCTAAGCTGCTGCCTGCAGTGCCGGCATCCCATATGGGCGCCAGTTCATATCCCAGCCTCTCCTCTTCCGATCCAGCTCTCTGCTGTGGCCAGGGAAAGCAGTAGAAGATGCCGCAAGTGCTTAGGCCTCTGCACCTGCATGGGAGACCCGGAGGAAGCTCCTGGCTCCTGGCTTCCGATCAGCCCAGCTCTGACCGCTGCCACTTGGAGAGTGAACCAGCATACCAAAGACCTTTCTCTTTGCCTCTCCCTCTCTCTGTCCTACTTCTCAAATAAATAAATAATCTTTAAAAAAATAAACAAATAGGCCGGCGCCACGGCTCAACAGGCTAATCCTCCGCCTAGCGGCGCCGGCACACCGGGTTCTAGTCCCGGTCGGGGCGCCGGATTCTGTCCCGGTTGCCCCTCTTCCAGGCCAGCTCTCTGCTGCGGCCAGGGAAGGCAGTGGAGGATGGCCCAAGTGCTTGGGCCCTGCACCCCATGGGAGACCAGCAAAAGCACCTGGCTCCTGCCTTTGGATCAGCACGGTGCGCCGGCCGTGGCGGCCATTGGAGGGTGAACCAACAGCAAAGGAAGACCTTTCTCTCTCTCTCTCTCTCTCTCTCTCTCACTGTCCACTTTGTCAAAAAACAAAAAACAAATAAATAAGTCAGAAAGAGAGTTCTCGGGTCTTGAGTGGTTCTGCTGAATCAGAAACTCGAGGCGCAGGGCCCAGCGTTGTGTGTTTCGTAGCAAGCCTCTGGGCGACTGTGACCATACCAGAGCTTAGAGCTCAGACCGAGGGGAGCTCGAGGCCTTTCCAGCCGCAGGAGTCTCAGTCCTCTGGGAGACAGAGGGCCGCAGTCAGCTGTGGTCCTCACCCAGCTGCGGCCTCGTGGCTCAACCCACCACAGGACAGGCCAGTGGGTCCTGAAATCACCGCACAGAGCCACTACGGCAGTGCCGCGTCGTTAAATGCAAACACCGGGAGCCACCCACGCCGAGACTCCTTCAGCAGAGCGCAGGGGAGCTCAGCCCCACCAGCCTGCTGCCTGCATCCCCTCACTGCTGCTGTCTGGCTCCCCAGCGCCCGCCCTGGGGTACCTGGGTAGTCTCGTGGTTTTCTTCCCATCACCAAGAGCTGGGCTCCAGGTTGAGGAAGGCAGGGCCCACCCCGGAGGGGCTCAGCTAACCCAGGGAGGGGCACGATGACGATGTGAGCTTGTGCACTACACACTCCGGGTCCTGGGTACTGTTTCATCCGGTGGCAAAAGGCCGCCCTGTCGGCTGTGGGGGCTGGGAAGGCCAAACCCCTGTGTCAGGCGCAGGGCTCATGTGGGAGGGTGGCTGTTTAGGACTTGGCCCTGGAGGCTCAGACTGGGGCTAGAAAGCTGTGAGCATCCTGAGGTTTCCAATGGCCAATTCCACCTGGAGACACAGCAGAGAGGGAGGGACCCAGGCTCTGGGCTTTTCCCTAGGCGTCGGAGCAACTAAAAAGCCCCAGAACTGGAAAAGGAAGGAGTACAAGCTGGCCCCTGCGAGGTAGCAGGCGGGAAGAGGAAGAGGAATTAGAGAAATCTCAGCCTCACCAAGGTGGAGGCCACGAATCCTGCCGCGCCAGTCAGCCACCTGCGAGTTCCATCCTTGGATTCTGAGCTGTTGTCATGAGGATTTCCTGGAGGCACTGTTGCTTACTGTAACAGACCTCGTCCCCAGGTTCTCTGGGCCCCACCCCGTCCTCCAGCCAGAGCTGCGGCGGTTTCCTGCAGACTTCAGCCCGTCCGATGCAGGTGTAACCGGACAGTGTTTCACCTGGGACTCTGAGCCGTGTCGTGTGCATTCTATTTCCCACCCTGGGGCGTCACACAGCCGCTGTGACACATGCACGTGCACCCTGGAACCGTGAAGGAGTTAACAACAGTGGGCATGCTCTTTACCTGTGGGGGTCAGGAGCTAGACTTAACATCCCCCCCTTTACAGGGCTGGTGCTATGGCCTAGCAGGTAAAGCTGCCACCTGCCCTGCAGTGCTGGCATCCCATATGGGCGCTGGTCCAAGTCCCAGCTACTCCTCTTCCCATCTAGCCCGTTGCTATGGCCTGGGAAAGCAGCAGAAGATGGCCCAAGTGCTTGGGCCCCTGCATCCATGTAGGAGACCCAGAAGAAGCTCCTGGCTTCTGGCTACAGATAGGCACAGCTCTAGCCGTTTTGGCCATTTGGTGAATGAATGGTGAGTGGAAGACCTCTCCCTCTCTCTCTCTGCCCCTGCCTCTGTCTCTGCCTCTCTGTAACTCTGCCTTTCTAAAGAAGAAAGAAGGAAGGAAGAAGGAGGAAGGAGGAAGAAGGAAGGAGGAGGAGAAGGAGAAGAAGAAGATTGGGGGGCGGCTGGCACTGTGGCATAGGTTAAGCATCTGCCTGTGGTGCCAGCATCCAATATGGGTGCTGGTTCGAGTCCCGGCTGCTATACTTCTGATCCAGCTCCCTGCTGGTGGCCTGGGAAAGCAGTAGAAGATGGCCCAAGTGCTTAGGAGACCCAGAAGGAGCTCCTGGCTTTGGATCAGCCCGGCTCCGGCCATTGCGGCCATCAGGGGCGTGAACCAGCAGATGAAAGACCTCTCTCCTTCTCTTCCTCTCTGCCTCTGCCTCTCTATAACTCTGCCTTTCAAATAAATAAGCAAACCTTTAAAGAAGCTGCAGGAGGAGGAGGAGAAGTGGCAGTAGTAATAGTATAAGAATCTGTCTCCTGACAAACTGAAGAAGTCTTTTGGGGTTGGATCAGTCCATTGCCTGTTGCTAAAACAAAATACCTGGGGCTGGGTGCTTCATGAAGAGAAAGGCTTACCTGACTGAGGGTCCTGGTCCTGGCGTGTCCAAGCAGCCTGGCTCTGGCATCCTGGTCAGGGCTCCCCGGCTGCATCACAACACGATGGGGAAGTGAGAAGGGAAACAGTTACATGCAGAAGGGACCAAGTGCACAGGGTGGGCTTGCTTTTTTTTTTTTTTTTTTTTTAAGATTTATTTATTTGAAAGGCAGAGTTACAGAGAGGCAGAGGCAGAGAGAGAGAGAGGTCTTCCATCCGATGGTTCACTCCCCAGATGGCCACAACGCTGGAACCGCGCCGATCCAAAGCCAGGAGCCAGGAGCTTCTTCCAGGTCTCCCATGCAGGTGCAGGGACCCAAGGACTTGGGCCATCTCTACTGCTTTCCCAGGCCATAGCAGAGAGCTGGATCAGAAGTGGGGCAGCCAGGACTCGAACCTGTGGTGAGTGCAGTTTCTAGAAAGCCAATAGGAGTGCTGCAGCACAGACCCAGGGTTCTGGAGAGAAAAAGTACCCTCTGGGGCAGAGAATGACTCATCGTTTGAAAAATGGGCAGCAGGCCTTGAGTAGAGACGAAGACACCCAGTGATGTGCATCTGGAGCCGCTTGTTTGGGCTGGGTCTGGTCAGATCCACTGCGCTGTACGATTGTAGGAGCACGGCAGTGATTCACCGCACAGCGGAGGACTGGTGTACTGGGGACGGGGCATGAGAAGGCCCAGAAGACTCAAAGCCAATTCCACGACCTGGTGGGCCAGACTTACGGCACCTGTGTCCTCTGCACACAGGTGTTCCCCTCAGCTCACACCCATGGTCTCCTGGGAAACTTTCCAAAACCACCTGAGAGACTAAAATAATTCAGACCAAATTTTGGATACCCCCTGGATATTTGATCTAACAATGAAGAGCTGCTATTTTTAAAATGATTACTGGGGGCAGTGCTGTGTAGCAGGTTAAGCTGCCACCTGCAATGCTGGCATGCCATGTCTGAGCACCAGTTCAAGTCCCAGGTACTGGCCCAGTTCCCTGTAAATGCGCCTGGAAAGCAGTGGATGATGGGCCAAGTGCCTGGGCCCCTGTCACCCATGGGGGAGACCTGGTTGGAGCTCCAGACTCCTGGCTTCAGCCTGATGCAGACTCAGCTGTTGTGGCCACTTGGGGAGTGAGCCAGCAGATAGAAGGTCTCTGTCTCTGTTTCTCCCTCCATCATTCTGCCTTTCAAATAAGTCTTTACAAATAAAATGATTATCTTTAGAACAGAGGTGGGGAAAGTCTGGCCCATAGGCCAAATAAGGCCTGCGGAGTCATTTGCTCTGGCCTTGCCAAGGCAGCCACACATGGGACTCAAAATTCAATAAATCTCTAACAGGCTAATTTTTAAGCTGATGATGTTTGAATGATGTTATAAATATCCAAATGGCCCTTGGCAGAAAAGGGTCCCCACCCATTTCAGAGACACTAATACATACTAAAATATTTACAGCAAAATTATAGGATGACTGGGACTTGTTTCAATACAACAGGAGAGGAAAAAATTAATGGGACAGAAATAGCTATGACTTGGTTAAGTCTGAATTACAGATAGATGGGGTTCATACCCTATTATGATTATTTAGGTGTATGTTCTGAATTCTCCACAATCGTTAAAAAGCAACAACTCAAATCTGGTCCGTGGATGAGTCCGCACGACTTTCCGGGATGGCCATAAACGGGCAGCTCCTGCATCACAGCCTTGGTCAGGGCGTCCCTACAGAGAGTGGTGAAGGGAAATCCTCCTGGGGGCAGAGCTAGAGCATTCATTACACTTGGCCCTTGACTTTGTACGCTGTGAGAGGTGGCCAGGGGGAAGGGTATACATGGAGCTCTGGAATGCAGCAGCGAATGGCTTAGCCGGGAAGAAGGAAGATTAGAAAATCAGAGGCCAGGAGGAATGTGGAAGAAATACTGGTGCAAGCTCGGGGAGATAGTGAAGGTGACATTTCCTTCAGCCCTCAGATTCTGTTCCTAACGCTGAGAGAACGGCGATTTGGCTCGCTCACTCCTGAGCGCACCCTTGTCTAACAGAGCAGAGTGGGAGAGCACCTCCTCCGATCATGGATCTGGGCCCCTGGGAGTGCTCAGAGCTCAGCTCCCCATTCCCCAGGTGACCTCCCCAGGCGGCTTCGCATGTCATCAACAGACCGACGTCTGCCACATTGCTTTATCTCCTGTCCAGGCCTCCCCACTGAATTCAAGTCATATATCTGACTGCCTGGTGGACATGTCCACTTAAATATGGAGTGGACACTAAAAACCTAACCCTCAAAACTCAATTTCTATTTTTTTAAAGATTTTTTTTTTGAAAAGCAGAGTGACAGAGGGAGAGAGGAAAAGAGAGAGAGAGAGAGAGAGAGAGAGACCTCCCATCTGATGGTTTACCCCCCCCACACACACACACAAATGGCTGCAACAGCCAGGGCTGGGTCAGGCTAAAGCTAGGAGCCATGAACTCCATCTGGGTCTCCTATATGCAAGGCAGAGGCCCAAGAACTTGGCCATCATCCACCACTTCCCCAGGCACATTAGCTGGAAGCTGGATTGGAAAAAGGGTAGTTGGGACTCAAAACCAGTGCTCTGATATGGGATGCTGCCATCACGGCAGTGGCTTCACCCACTTCACCACAATGCTGGCCTGTTTTTATATTCAGAGTATGCCCTATTCAGATTGACTAATAAATTCTTAAAAAAAAAAAAAACTTATTTACTTGAGAGGCAGAGTTACAGAGAGAGGGAGAGACACAGAGAGAGGTCTTCCATCCGCTGGCTCACTCCGCAAATGGCCGCAACAGCAGGAGTTAGGCTGATTTGAAGCCAGGAGCCAGGAGCTTCCTCCAGGTCTCCCACACGGGTGCAGGGGCACAAACACTTGGGCCATTTTCTACTGTTTTCCCAAGCTACCAGCAGGGAGGTGGATCGGAAGTGGAGCAGCCAGGACTTGAGCTGGCTCTGGTATGGGATGCCAGCACCACAGGCAGAGGCTTAACTCACTATACCACAGCACCGGCCCCATAAATTCTTTTTTTAAAGGTGTATTTATTTGAAAAGCAGAGAGAGAGAGGGAGATAGACAGATAGATAGAGAGATCTTCTATCCGCTGAATCACTCCCTTAATGGCCCCAAAAGCCAGGTGAGGGCCAGGATGAAGCTGGGTACCAAGAACTCTACCCAGCTCTCCCACCTGGGAGGCAGGGGCTCAAACAACTGGGCCATCTTCTGCTGCCTTCCCAGGTGCATTAGCAGGAAGCTGGATCAGAAGCCCTGCAGCTGGGATTCGAACCTGCACTCTCATATGGGTGCCGGCATTACAAGAGGCATCCTGACTGCTGTGCCTAACGCCCACCCCATCTTGGTGTTTTAAGTTCAAGACCAATGAGTCTCTGCAATGTAGCTCCGATTTACCCCGGCCTGTCTTCATTTCTCAACCCTCTTTCTGCACCACGGCAGTTTCACATCATCAGTACCACTTCATGGAGGTCTCGCGGCTTCTATCCTCCCTCCACGCCAAACGCTGTGCCCACAGAGTTTCTACCATCTATGTTTGCTCGCTGCTCCCAGGAAGCTGCCAAGAGCTCCCCAAAGCCTCACACAGTTGCCATCAAGATAACCCTTCAGGCAGGCCCTTATCTATCCTCAGCTTCTCCACATTCTACTTTATACCCTATACTCTGGAAGGACAACTTGCCCCATCTTTTTTTTTAAATTTATTTATTTACTTGGGAGTCAGAGAGACACACAGAGACCTCCCATCCACTGGTTTACCCCACAGATGCCTGCAAGAGCTGCGTCTGGGCCAGGATGGAGCTGGGAGTGGAGAATCCAATCCAGTTCTCCCACATGGGTGGCAGAAACCCAATGACCCAGGGTTTGCATTAGCAGGAAGCTGGGAATTGAATCCTAATCACTGCATCCTAATCACTAGGCTAAATGCCCACTCCCATGGTGTAGCGGGTAAAGCCACCACCTGCAGTGCCAGCATCCCATATGGGTGCTGTTTCTAGTCTCGGCTGCTCCACTTCCAATCCAGCTCTCTGCTACGGCCTGGGAAAGCAGTAGAAGGTGGCCCAATGCCTTGGATCCCTGCACCCATATGGGAGACCCAGAAGAAGCTTCTGGCTCCTGGCTTCAGATTGGCACAGCTCCAGCCGCTGCGGCCAGTTGAAAAGTGAACTAGCAGATGGAAGACCTCTCTCTCTCTCTGCCTCTCCTCTCTCTGACTTTAAAATAAATAAATATTTTTTTTTAAAATGCCCACTCCTTCCCTTATTTCTGATGACTTATTCTCCTATATCTCAGTCTTTGTCCAGACTTCTCAACTGACATAGAACTACCCGACTCCATTTGTATATGCCACCCTATCCCTCTTCTTCAAGTGGCATCATCATAAGGTTAGTGTCTTTAAAAAAAAATTTTATTTATTTGGAAGGCAGAGTTACAGAGAGCGTGGGGGAGAGAGAGAGGGATCTTCCAACTGCTGGTTTACTCCCCCGATAGCCACAATGGCCAGGCAGAGAGCTAGATCAGAAGCAGAGCAGTCAGGACTTGAACCAGTGCCCATGTGGGATGCTGGCGTCGTAAGCAGCAGCTTAACCTGCTGTGGTGCTGCACTACAATGCCAGCCTTGATAAGGTTCCTTTCTTCAGCAAGATTTCACAATCAGCCCGGCTGTATCCTAGTAACCTCCAATGTTACTTCTTCAGCCCCATCCCTCAGAGAACCACTCAATTTCACAATGAATTTTCTGTCTTAAATGCCTTGTTAGATAGTAAATCTCCCCAAACTGTATCTTCTGCACTATGTATCCCTAAGCGCCTAGTGCAATGCTTTGTACTCGATGAGCATTTATTATGAACCTGTGAACAAACGAACCACTTGCAGAATATATAAGCCCTGCTTCCTCCAAGGGCTTACTGGGAAAAGAGAGGGAAAAAAACATACCCAGTAACTTTGCTCCACAATTCATTTACTGAACTGGGTAGGTGATTTCACAGCAGATTACGATATAAGGCTGGCAGGGAGGAATTCTTGCTTTCCCTCCCAGGAGCCAGCTGTGTCATGGATGCTTGTAAGTTTTCCAAAATAGCCATTTGTCGCTGAGCAAGCTGGGTCTGAAGCTGCAGGTTGGCATACATGCTCTCTAGGAGTCCCAGGCATTCCTTGGGCTGGTGGTCAGCTCCTGAAGGGAGGGCAAGGGAGATGGCGAAAGGGACAAAGGAGAGAGAGGCTGCAATTAGAGTGTGGGAGGGGCTCTGGGAAGATGCTGCCCAGATCTCGCCTGGCATAACCCAATCCAGAGACACCTTAGCTTGGTTGTCACCTTCTCCCCAGGCTTACTTGGTGATCCTGTTTTCAGCTCAAACCAATCGCCCCTCTACCTTGTTTTATTTTTTTTCCCACAATACTTACCGATCATTGGCATCTTTTCTAACCGCTTCTTTAATTGTTGTCGTCTAAGTCCCCCTTCTGGAATGTAAGCTCCAGGAAGGCAAGGATTTGGTCTGATTTGTTCACTGCTGCCTCCCCAGCACCTCAGTGCTCAACAAACATTTGATGAGCATATGAAATGGTCTGCAAGGGAGGCCTGATCTCTGTTCAAGAGCTCAGGGCAGATCCCAGACTCCTTCTCTTACCTGAGATGGTACTCATTAGCAGCGGCCGGAAGTTCTCCCTGCAGCTAACTTCAATGGCTCCTGGTGCACCGGCCCGTATTTCCAACTACATTATATACAGCCTGCTCTTCGTCAACATTGGCAAGTATACTATCATCTATTGTTTGTATATGAATTGGTTTTGACTTCTTTATTTATTTACTGACAGGCAGAGTTAGAGAGTGAGAGACAGAGACAGAGAGAAAGGTCTTCCTTCCATTGGTTCACCTCCCAAATGGCTGCTACAGCTGGCGCTGCGCCGATCTGAAGCCAGGAGCCAGGCGCTTCCTCCTGGTCTCCCATGCAGGTGCAGGCGCCCAAGCAGTTGGGCCATCCTCCACTGCCTTCCCGGGCCACAGCAGAGACTGTGTGGACTGGAAGAGGGGCAACCGGGACAGAACCGGCGCCCTGACCAGGACTAGAACCCGGGGTGCTGGCGCTGCAGGCGGAGGATTAGCCTAGTGAGCCACGACGCCGGCCAGTTTTGACTTCTTTACTAGGCTCTGAGGTACTCTCAAAAAACAGGGATCATGAGCATCTCATGCCCTGGTGGGCTCCATGAGCATGCCAGATAACCACCGCCTTCCCCGGGGAGAGGAAATTCAGGCAGACTGAGACTGCGCTAACGGTGGCCATTTCCTTCCCTAGGGACCTGCAACTAACATTAGCAGTAAGCTTTTCAGGTCACTGCTGTCTAGCCAAAGTGCCAATAAGCAAGGAACACAAACTGGTAGAACAGGGAGGAAAAGGAAATCAGCGGGACTGAGAGTCCACAAGTTACAGTGAAACAGGGAAAGGACACCACAGTGAAAAGTCTGACACAGAGCCGGCACCCGGTCCACAGGAGAAAGCAAGCTGAAGCCACCTCCTCCTCCGTGCAGCCCTCCCTCCGCCCTGCTGAGCTCACTCAGGAGCCCCTCCCTGTGTTCTTACCTGAGGGAAGCTGTGTGGTCTCGATGTTCAGGAAAGCGGCTGGGGGGGAACTTGCTTGAAGATTAATGTAGCTGGGGGAGGGTTTTGCTCGACAAAGAGGCGCAGCATTACCTTCCTCTTTGGCTGGGACAAAATCAGAGCTAAGTCAGAGCCTTTCTTTCTAATTAGATTCCTGCATCCTGTTTATGAAAGCAGGGGCTGAGACCCTGTCCTGAATACCTTATATGTCAGAAATACATGTAACAGGGCCGGCGCCGTGGCTCACCAGGTTAATCCTCCACCTTGTGGCGCTGGCACACCGGGTTCTAGTCCTGGTCGGGGCGCCGGATTCTGTCCCGGTTGCCCCTCTTCCAGGCCAGCTCTCTGCTGTGGCCCGGGAGTGCAGTGGAGGATGGCTCAAGTACTTGGGCCCTGTACTCCATGGGAGACCAGGATAAGTACCTGGCTCCTGCCATTGGATCAGCGCCGTGCGCCAGCCGCGCAGCCATTGGAGGGTGAACCAACAGCAAAGGAAGACCTTTCTCTCTGTCTCTCTCTCTCACTGTCCACTCTGCCTGTCAAAAAAAAAAAAAAAAAAAAAAAAAAAATACATGTAACAAAGGAGAGAGAAATCATAGCAGGATTAAGGGAAACCAAGCAGGGGCAGGATATGCTAAACTTGCTTGCTCACAGTATAAATTTTTATCCATGTGCGCTACGTGCTTTCTGCTATACTGGATGATGCCAGGACATACACGAGACTTTTAGGACATGGTATCTTGGGGGCCAGCGCTGTGGCATAGCAGATAAAGCCGCCGCCTGCAGTGCCGGCATTCCAGATGGGTGCCAGTTCAAGTCCCGGCTGCTCCACTTCTGATCCAGCTCTCTGCTGTGCCTGGGGAAGCAATGGAAGATGGCCCAAGTCCTTGGGCCCCTACATCCCCGTGGGAGACCCAGAAGAAGCTCCTGGCTCCTGGCTTCGTATCGGCCCAGTTCCAGCCATTGCGACCATCTGGGGAGTGACCAGCAGACGAAAGACTCTCTCTCTCCCTCTCTCTCTCTCTCTCTCTCTCCCTCTCTCTCTCTGTCCCTCTGTAATTCTGTCTTTCAAATAAATAAATCTTAAAAAAAAAAGACATGGTATATCGGATGCTTATTATCTAGTTATGGAGACAAATCAGACATGGGTGAAACAGATACAATACACAGATATAATAAATGAGTCTCTAATTTGGGGTGAAACAAGGCTTTTTATCAGTACAAGTGATACAATGTAAAAATGTATGTTTTTGAAAAGAGAGAACAAATACATATAGGTACAATGGTCAGAGAAGGCCCATGAAGGTGGATGACTTGTTTTTAAAGATTTATTTATTGGGGCTGGCACTGTGGCATAGCAGGTAAAATTGCTGCCTGCAGCGTCAGCATTCCATATGGGTGCCAGTTCAAGTCCTGGCTGCTCCACCTCCGATCCAGCTCTATGCTCTGGCCTAGGAAAGCAGTGGAGGATGGCCCAAGTGCTTGGTTCCCTGCACCTGCATGGGAGACCCAGAAGAAGCTCCTGGTTCCTGGCTTCGGATCAGTTCAACTCCAGCTGTTGAGGCCATTTGGGGAGTGAACCAGTGGATGGAAGACTTCTCTCTATTTCTCTCTCTCAACTCTGCCTTTAAAATAAATAAATAAATCTCTTTTTTAAAAGCTTTATTTGAAAGGCAGAGTTATGAAGAGAGAGGGGAAGACAGGGAAAGAGACACGGGGAAAGAAAGGTCTTCCATCTGCTAGTTCACTCCCCAAGTGGCTACAATGGCCAAGGCTGAGCAAGGAGCCAGGATCTTCATCCAGGTCTCCCATACAGATGGCAGGGGCCCAAGCGCTTGGTCCATCTTCCACTGCTTTTCCCAGGCCAGTAGTAGAGAGCTGGGTTGGAAATAGAGAAACCAGGACACAAACAGGCATCCATATGAAATGCCAGTGTTGCAAGCACAAGACTACGCCACGGGACCAGCGTCAGGTGGATGATATTTAATGAACCTTGAAAATTAGGGAAGCTAAGTGGGACAGGGGAAAATGCATAGCATGGGCAAAATACAAGGGAGCAGGAACATAGCTGTAGTGGTGAGGAGCCCTGGGAAACTGGCCAGAATCAGGCAGAGTGGGCCAGGTATGACCCTTTATGACAACTAATGTGGGATATTTCAGCTTTCTTTTGAATACACAGAAAGCTACTGAACCTTTCAATATTAGCACAAATGTGGCTAAAACGGCATTTTGATTTATTTATAGGCATTAAATACCATGAGTTGGACATGGAAGAGATTCTTCAATGGGAAAAAAAAAAAAAACAAGCCAAGGGGCCAGCGCTGTGGCATAGTAGGTTAGACCTCTGCCTACAGTGCTGGCACCCATATGGGCACTGGTTCATGTCCTGGCTGCTCCTCTTCCCATCCAGCTCTCTGCTGATGTGCCTGGGAAAGCAGTGGAAGAGAGCCCAATTGCTTGGGCTCCTGCACCCACATGGGAGACCTGGAAGAAGCTCCTGACTCCTGGCTTTGGATCAGCACAGCTCTGGCTGTTGCAACCAGCTATGGAGTGAACTAGTGGATAGAAGACTTCTCTCTCTGCCTCTCTTCTCTCTGTCTGTAACTCTACCTCTCAAATAAACAAATAAAATCTTTTAAAAAAATACAAAGGTAATCTATAAAATATTGACATTAGGGCTCCGTCATATTAACATAATTTCGGAACTATTGAATCTGAGGTCAAAGTAGGGAAATCCGTATAGAAATGCCGAGAAAAATGGCCAAAGAAATGGCCCTGAGCTTAGGTGAAAGGTCCAACTGCCAGGTTGATCACAAAATGGGGATGAAGAAGCTGCAAAATAAATAGGCCCTCCGAGGTCAAAGACCGAGATGAAACTGGACTTGAGGAGCTCCTCCTCAGGGGTCCGGAAGGTAAAAGAGAAATGGTGAAGCAGCCAGAAGAGCAATGGATGAAAAGGCACAACAGCTGGTGCCATGGAAGAATTGAAGGGTTTAGGGGGCCAGCGTTGTCACACAGTAGGTAAAGCTACCACCTGTGATGCTGGCATCCCATAGCCCATCCAGCTTCCTGCTAATGAACACGGGAAGGTAGATTTGCTGGCTCAGGCACTCGGGCCTCTGCCAACCATATGGGAGACCAGGATGGAGTTTTTGGCCCCTGGCTTCAGCCTGACCTACACCTGACTGGTGTGGCCATTTTGGGGAGTGAACCAGTCTCTCTCTCTCTGTCTTTCCCTCTTTGACATTCTGTCTTTCAAATAAATAAATCTCAGTAAATAAATAAAGGGCTTATAAAAAGAAAAAAGGGCTTGGGACAGAGGGGAGTGTGCTTCACCGTCATAACAAGATCAAGACAGGATAGGAAGAGGCTGACACTGAGGCACAGTGGGTTAAGCTCTCGCTTGAGACACTGGCTTCTCATACCAGAGTGCCAGTTCAAATCTTGGTTGCTCCACTTCCAATCCAGGTAATGTGCCTGGGAAGACAGCAGATGATGGCTCAAGTTCCCAGGTCCTTACCACCACACGGGAGACCAGATGGGGTTCCGTGCTGTTGGCTTTGGCCCAGCCCAGTCCGGGTCCTTCCAGCCATCTGGGGAGCAAACTTGTGGATGGAAGCTCTTTTTCTGTCTCTCCCTATCACTCTGCCTTTCAGATAAATAAAATAAATCTTTAAAAAACCCAAAACCTGGGCCTGTAGACTGCAAAATCATGCTCCTTACTACTGCACCATATACTCCACGAGAAGAGCTGGTTAATTCCTGTCCAAGCCCTGACAAAGCAGTTTCTCAGATAAAGTGAGCCACTCTACCTACAGTTACGGAGACAGCCTTGGGCAGCTCCTGGACCACTGGCGGGACTGTCCCACTTCAACTGAGATACCCACATACAAAGTCTTGTTCCAGGTATCAAGAGGAGATACCAAGGAAGAATACATTCATGCAATATGCAATTATTGAGCTTCTGTTATTTAACAGATCCAGTGCTAGGCACTTGGAACACAGCAAAGTTCCCATTTATACTTCCCAACTAACCACGGAACATACGCCTGGCACCCATAAGCCTAGAATCACCTCCCCAAACGCTAAGTGGCCAGGGAGGGGAGCAAGGGCCTGGGACACGCACCTTTTCCGTCTGGCGGGTGACTAGTGGACTGCTCCATCTGAACACCAACAGGTGTGGGGCCTGTGGGAGAATCACAGCATCGCATCGTCAAACACCCTCGCGACTCTGCCTGCTGACTTTCCCAAGCTCTCTCCAGCAGAGCCAGCTGCTCCAGTTTGCCGAGGAAGACGTGTGAACGGCGTATTTTATTTCATGCCCCAATAAAAGTGACTGGAATGGTTTATGCTCTTAGTCCCTTCGCTAATTGGGAAAAATTATTTCAATTTTTCCTGGAAAATAGTAATTTAATCCAACTCGAACCTCGAGTTTCCTACGATCGGGGAATGGTTCTCCGTGTTCTTTACAGATTTAATTTCCATTGTATTCAGTCCTTTCCTTGTCCAGCACAGTCATTTAAAAACTCGGGTTCCCCCCATTGTCTCTGGAGGACCAGGGTCCAATGAGGACAGGGCAGGCATCGGGATGGGGAAAGAAAAATCTCAAAGCACTACTTGAGAAAATGTTTTAAATAGGATGAAACACAAGCCACCACGCTCTGGTCCCGATGGCAGCCTCAATCAAAGGCATTTGCCCAAGAAAGGCAAGGTCCAAAGCACAGCCACGCGTCTTAAGAGGAGATAAACTACAATTCCCAGCGTGCCTAGAAAAAGGACCGTGGGCCCCGCCCGGCGCCAACAGGACTACAACTCCCACATCACCCTTCATCAAACCGGCCCGCTCTGCCCTCCGCCTCCCTGCTGTTCCTCCCTGTTGATAAGGCTGGAGGAAGAAAGTGGGAACCCTCAAGCCTTTCTTGACCTTCACTGTCTGACAGACGCCACGGGGTAGCACACATTTTTAATGACTTCACCTGCGGTGTTAGTCGAAAGCCTCAACCCCAGCACCCACCCCTGTAGTTGATACGCATGCTCCGTAGTATGCGGGCCAACGGCCCGAGCCTCAGCGCCTGCGCCGTTGTTCGCGCCGCACGCGGTCGGGAGCGGCCACCCTGTTGCGCAAGCGCCTATGCCTGCCTATTGCCATCATCGCGCTCTCTCTATCTAGCTTGCCCTGCCGTTCCTGCGTAGGGGGCGGGGCCAAGGCTGTCGATTGGCCTGTTTTCATGCCGGTCAATGAGATAGATGCGGTGATTGGAGGCGACCCGCAAGGTAGCGGGTTTAGGTGTAAGCCCCGGGGAGGCAGCGTTTTCTGGGCTTCTCTCAGCTTCTCGCTCTCCAGAAGGTTCTGCCGGTTCTTTCAGCTCTGGGTGCCCGGCTCTCCATCGCGCCGCCATGATGGGCCATCGTCCCGTGCTCGTGCTCAGTGAGTTTTGGGGCAGCTGGGGAAGAGACCCCTTTTTCGCCCGCCTCCCTCCGCACTTTTTTCGGGGCTCCCCCCGCCGGGTTCCGCCCTGACCCAGCCACCGAGCTTTCCGGTCATCGTCTTCATTTTGGAAGCCCCTTCGTCCGCTCCCCTCTCTCCCTGGCGCTCGCCTCTCTTCCCTAACGGAAACTGACCTTCCCGACGCCGAGGCCCTGGTCTTCACGTGTGCGGGTCTCGGGAAGCCCCCTCTCCGTGCTCGCCTCCCGCGCCCGACCCCGCTCCACGCCTCTGCACCCTTTCCATCATGGTTTCACCGAGTGGTTCAATGAGTGGTGCTTTTTTTTGCGGGGTGGGGGGGTCCGGCCTGGCCTTGTATCCTTGGCTCATCCCTTAAGTAGCAGCGTGACCTCGAGCAGCTTACTCCACGCAAGCGTTTCCGCCTGGGTCGCGGGGTTAGTAGTATCTCCTGGCAGACGGCTTAGGTGAGGGTCTGGCAGATAGCGGGTGGCATCCTTGGTCACTTCACGTTTCTTTTAAGCACAGCCCGTGTTCGGCTGTAACCCTGCCTCCCTCGCGGGGCGAAGAGGGTGCGATGGTTCCCGCTGACCGAGTTCTCTAGTCTCCACTGGTTCCCGCCCCCCTTTTGGGAGTGTCCCGTTTATGTCTGCCTGAGGGTCTCCACCTCGGTTTTCTGCCCTACTCGGCAGGTTTCCGCGCTGTGTGTCACTGATGCCCCCCCCCACCCACACCCCCCCATCTGCAGGACCGCCTAGGATCCTCTCCCTTACCTTTTGTTGACAGAGTTTTCCTTCTTTTTCTCTATACCTGAGAAATAACTTAAGGAGAAAAAAAATCCTATTTTTTTCTTATGGGCTGTGGGTCCCTATAAGGTCTTGGTTACGCAGAGTGAGCATGGAAATGTTAAATGGATGTTCACATTTGATGGGACTAGATGGAAAGATTACAGACTTAAGTTGTAGGGGAAGGTATAGTTTGGGGGTGGGGGGTAAGCATGATGTCGGGTGGTGACAGCCACTGGGCCTGGGTGAGTGGTGTGCATTTGTAAAGCTCTTGACAGGTCTGGGTTAATCCCTGGCGTTAGTGGTTGTAACCAGTTAGGCTCCCTATTAAAATATGTAGTTAGCTCTTACTGATGATAAGGGGACAACTATAATTTGTCCTGCAGGCTGAGACACCTTTAAAGAAAGTGTTCTTATCACCACAGATTTGGCTCTCACTGCCCAGCACGTTGTAATGTGCTGTCAGAGTGCAGTTCCCCCGCTCCACGCTGGAAGAAAGGACCCCAGAGCTCTTTGCCTCTTTACGAGAAGCAGTGCTTGGTACTTCCTTGGGGTTGCCAGCCCTTTGGGGACCTCATCATAGCTGTGGATTCTGTTGCCAGGAAAAGCCCTGCTGCCTCTCCTTTCCTCTCACAGAACCTCAGGGAGTTCACCACCCCAGAGACCTATCCGTGGGTCTTAGGTTATGAATCCCTGCTGGAAATAGGTGGATGCTTGGGAGGAACGTGTTGACCAAGCTTCCAGAGTTGGAGGGAGCATGATGGGTTATTCCTTAGTGCGCCCGGGATTGAAATAAACAAGTAAATAGCCGCTAAATAGCCGCAAGTGTGTATACTTGTCAGTTTGCTGAGGTCTAATTGACAGAAACTGCACATATTTAAGATGTGCCATTCGATGAGCTTTGTTCTGTGTCTACATGGTGAACTCCGTGTGCTTATTTTCATTTTCTAGCTCGTGTACACTGGGGCACTCCTGGGCTCTTAACATTGTTTTTACCTGTTTTAGGCCAGAACACAAAACGTGAATCTGGAAGAAAAGTTCAGTCTGGAAACATCAATGCTGCCAAGGTAGCATGTCTTCTACGTGTCTGTGGTTGTCTGCCTCCAGCTGTCTTCCCTCCTATTTCTGTATTTGCTTGTAGCAGTAAGTTTCTGGTGAATCTATACTTTTTTTTTTTTTTTTTTAAGATTTATTTTAGTTATTTGAAAGGTAGAGTGACAGAGCATAGGAGAGAAATCTCTGTTGGTTCACTGCCCAAATGGCCACAATCGCAAGGGCTGGGCAAGGTTGAAGCAGGAGCCTGGAACTCCAACAGGTCTCATGTGCGTGGCAAGGGCTCGAGTACTTGGGCCATCTTCCTTTGCATTCCCAGGTGTGTGAATCTATACTTCAGGGTATTCAATTAGGCGAAGGAGAAATTGGCTTCCAATCCTTCCAGGACATTTTACTGATGGTAGTAGGGGGAGAGAGACCCTCCCCCTCTGAGTTAGGCCTGATAATCTTCTTATATTTATCTGTGCATAATTGCTTCGCTGTGTATCAGTAAGTGTCTGAATGAAGCAGTGAAATACCCCTGAATCTGCCCTGGGGTGGTGTGCAGGCCACTGCCGTGCCAAAAAACGCTAAGACGTGGACTGTTACTTGGATTGTTGGGAAACTAGAGCTCCGGTTTTCATGTACAAAGTCATTTTGGGGGCTGGCGTTCTAGTGTAGTAGGTTAAGCCTCTGCCTGTGATGCCGTTCAAGATGCACGTAGATGCCGGTTCAAGACTCCGCTGCTGCACGTGCGGTCCAGCTCCCTGCTAATACACTAGGATAGCAGCGGTGGATGGCCCAGGTGCTTGCCCCCTGCACCCACGTGGGAGACCCGGAAGATCCGGACTCCTGGCTTCAGCCTGGCCCAGCCCTGGCTGTTGGAGCCATTTGGGTGGTAAAGCAGTGAATAGAAAATCTCTCTCCCTCTGTCTCTCCTCCTCTCTCTGTAACTCTGCCTTTAAAATAAATTTTAAAATCTTTAAAAAAAAAAAAACAACTAGCCACATGGCATTCTATATTATAGCTGAAGTGGTTGCCAGCCCTCATTGAAAACTTCACTGTTACCACACTGGCTCTGCAGGTGGCTCTACTCCTTATAATTCACGCTCACTGTCTTAACGTTTCTTTTCCATTAGACTATTGCAGATATCATCCGAACATGTTTGGGACCCAAATCCATGATGAAGGTAGATATGTCTCTTATTGAAACTTAGACTACCAGTTTGTTTGTTTTTTTTTCTCCCTGTTATTTAGATCACTTTAAATATAACTTTGGCTTTTTGTCTTAGATGCTGTTGGACCCAATGGGAGGCATTGTGATGACCAATGATGGCAATGCCATTCTTCGAGAGGTATGTTGTTGTTTTTTTTTTTACATTTCCTTTCTAACAGTTATAAATATGAAGAATCCATTAATGTATGTGTGTATATAGATGGTGATTTGTTTTTAAGATTTGTTTATGTATTTGAGGGACAGAGAGAGAGAGAGGGACAGAGACAGAGATAAATCTTCTATCCTCTGGTTCACTCCCCAATGACCCCAATGGCTGGGGCTGGCCTGGAACTTCATCTAGGGTTCCCATGTGGGTAGCAGGGGCCCAAGTACTTGGACCATCTTCCACTGCTTTCCCAGGCGCATTAGCAGGGAGCTGGGTTGGAAGTAGAGTAGCTGAGTCTTGAACTGGCACCCTGGCATTTCAGGCAGTGCTTAACCCACTGAGCCACAACACCAGCCCTGATTAGTTTATTAAGGCTGCTATAACGAATTACCGCAAGCAATTGTGTCCTAGACTGAGGCTGGAAATCAGAAATCAAGGTGTCGGCAGGGCTGTGCTCTTTGGAAGTCTAGCTTCTGAAAGTTGCCAGTATTCTTTGGCTTGTAAACTTGATCTCTACCTCAGTCATCACATAACATTCTCCTTTTTAGAAAATTACTTTTTTTCCCCCTTAATCTGAAAGGCAGTGTGATGCAGAGGGAGACAGAGAGCTATCTTCCATCTGCTGGTTCACTCCCCAAATGACTGCAGTAGCCAGGGCTAAGCCAGGACAAAGCCAGATGGCAGGAACCCACGTACTTGAGCCATCATTTGCTGCCACCCATGTGTGTTAGCAGGAAGCTGGATTGGAAGCCTAGAATAGCCAGAACATGAGCCAGGAACTCTGGTATGGGGTGCAGGTGTCCCAAGTGGAGTTCTTCTGGTATGCCACAGAGTCTGCCCCAGCAAGCCTTAATAGCTGTCTGTGACTTGGAAAGTGGCTTCTTCTTAAGGTATTTTCGGGCCATTTTTAATCTTCCAAGGTATTTTAAAACAATGAAGGGAATATGTGTGGAAGGAAGAAGCTCAAGAGTGAGGGCCAATCAGAACAGGGTAAGCAGTCTTCGAGTAGTGCTTATTCAGTGATAATTTACATGTTTTCTGTCAGATTCAAGTCCAGCATCCAGCAGCCAAGTCTATGATTGAAATTAGCCGGACTCAGGATGAAGAGGTTGGAGATGGGACCACATCAGTCATTATTCTTGGTAAGAGGATAATAATGGTTGATAAAGAAAATCAGAAATGTCATATTTTCAGAAGGAAATTCTGTTACCAATTCACTAGCAAACATTTAAATAGTTTACTGCTAATTTTCTGTGTATTCTCTTTATGATCAGGTTAAGTGTGTATAGGATCTCATAGGATGAGCTATGCAGATTTACTGTCAGCTCAGCTCTCTTTTTTGGTGACTAACTCTTTACTTGTAGGGGGAAAATTACTTCTAGGGAAAACGGACATTTAGATTTCTGTGAGGTTCTGTTTTTTTTTTGTTTTGTTTGGTTGTTGTTTTTTAAGATTTTATTTATGTGGGCTGGCACCGCTGCTCACTAGGCTAATCCTCCGCCTTGCGGCCCCGGCA